TTGCCCTCTCCTGTGGCTTGTAATGTAATGGGCAGTACAAATGCCTTGACCTCAGGCTGTTGATGTTGCCATCCACTCTGCAGATCTATCGCACGCCCCTATACTGAATGTAATTTATTTATTTTTTTTACCAAACTTGATTTCTGTAAGAATCTTGATGTGGGCTTCAAAGGGTCTTCTGCAGTATTTGTAATGATTGGGATGCAGTTCAACAGATGATTTATCTAAAATAATGTACCTTCTGCCACTTTTCCAAATAATCAACTAGAAGTCAAGTTATTATAAGTTATATTACTATTTGTTGCTCTTTCAACTGGGATTGTTGACAAGACTTTTATTAGGGAGTGCATGTATCAATGCACATAGCCATTGACTGAACATGTGACACTCATTTCCATGAAAAAAAAAAAAAAAATTGTTACCTGGGGCAATAGTGCTGAAATTGTTCATTATTATCAATTCCTATGGAGTTTTTCAGTGCTTATACTAAATTATTTGTCAGTTGCACTTTAATTTAGAGTATTTGTACTTAATGTGTACTTACCTGGGTCATATAGCAATCGAATTTGTTAATTTAACTCGGGTAGGTTCAGGAATAGCATCTAGCTTTTACCTAATTTAAGTAATCACTATGATAATGTAATTTGTGCACATCAATGTTAATTTGTTCATTCATTTTCCTTCTGCTTAGTCTCTGATTTATCAGGGGCGTCACAGCATAATGAACCACCAACGAGTCCTGCATATGTTTTACACAGCGTATGCCCTTCCAGCCACAACCCAGTATTGAGAAACACCTATTCACTCTCACATTTACAAACGCAGACTCATACACTATGGCCAGTTTAGTTTATCCAATTCACCTATAGCGCATGTCTTTGGGCTGTGGGGGAAACCAGAGCACCCGGAGGAAACCCATGCGAAATGGGGAGAACATGCAAACTCTGCACAAAAATGCCAACTTGCCCGGCAAGGACTCGAACCAGCAACTTTCTTGTTTTGGGGTGACAGTGCTAACCACTGAGCCATTGTGCCACCCTCCACATCATTATTTACATTTTATTTCTTGTAATTCACATACACTTTGTAATCTTGAATCAAAATGATTCCCCTTCCTCTTCAGACTTCGCTTCTCTGATGATGTGTTTACTGGCGTGAGGATGGGACAATTTGTCACTCAAATGAGATTAACCAATGGCAAACCTCAACCATCCCAAAATTTTCCCATGAACCAAATATAGCTCAGCACTGCTTTTCTTTTTTTGCTTAAACTTTTTAAAAACTCAGATGTCACAATTAGTTAGAAATGACAAAACCTCAGGATTATGAATCATTTAAAAAGTTTGAACAAGTAAAAAAAAAAGCTTTGTTGAATGAATTGTGACTAAAGTAAGTCCTTATTCCTGTCCTTGTGCTTATCTTTTATCCTTTTGTTGTATGTGTTTTATCCTTTTGTTGTTTGTAACTTTATTCTTATTCTATTCTAATGTGTTTTGTGATTTTAGGTTGCCTAAAATTGGCAGGGAGCAAACAGATAAAAACTTTCCCTTGTGGCTGACTCTGTTAAATACGTTTCTAATCAAAATAATAAAGTAGGCATACAGCTAAACTAAAAGTTCAATGTAAAAAAATACAACAAAAATATATTTTTGTAAGAGTATATTTTTTACTCTTATTCATTTTTATAACCTGCCATAAATTTCTTAAAGGAACTTTTTAGTGAACAATTCTTAAATGAACTGTTTTGTCGTAATGTAAAGAAACATTTTTTTTTCTCTGTAAAGAACGTTTTGTGCACTGAACATGTACTATTGATGTTAAGCGTTCTTCCAGAAACCATTATTTCAATACAAGAGTGTATTAAAGTGTGTAAGAGACTGCCAACAAATATAATGCAACAACATTAATTCATTTTTCTTCAGCTTAGTCCCTTTATTCATCAGGGGTCGCCACAGCGAAATGAACCTCCAACTTATCAGCATATGTTTTACACAGCGGATGCCCTTGGAGACAGCCATATACACTCATACATATGGCCAATTTAGTTTATTCAATTCACCTATAGCACATGTCTTTTGACTGTGCAAACTCCACACAGAAGCACCAACTGACCCAGCCGGGGCTCAAACCAGCGACCTTCTTGTTGTGAGGAAACAGCGCTAACCACTAAGTCACCATGTTGCCCAATGCAACAGCATGATAAAGACAATTAAAAAATAATAAACATTGAATGTTTTTCGTTTTCTCATATTTGTCTCAAAAGTTTTTGGTAGGTTGAACATTGATTACAACCACTGTGCAGATGCCAGTATGTTTAGTCTGTGTCTGTGCATGCACAATGTCTCTGCATGTGTTTTTTTTTTTTTTTTTTGGCAGTGACCACTTCAAAATCTTTCAAGGAATGTGTATCAGTCAAATTTAGTTTGAAGTTGCAGTATGTTTATGCGTGTGTGTCTTTCTCCGTGTTCTTTGTGTGGAGGAAACACACATCATGCTGGCCGCTATTCCTGGAGAGGAGGCACGAGACCCTGGAGACCAGTTTAGCTCCTCGCTGTCAATCACTCAGATAACATGCAAAGAGCTCAGAGAACATGTGCACAGCACGGCAGAGAAGTGGAAAAATAAACAGTTATGTTCAGCCAGCTGTTAGCAGAACACTGGCCTCTCCTGACCCGCCGCTTTTGAGCTGCTCTCATGCACTTGAGGAGTTTATTGTGCTTCCTTTGCCTGATTTTGGAGTCTGCAGTTCTGTTCTAGTGGTTCAAGTTTGGTGTGCGCAATATTAGCCTTGAGTTTGCAAAGAAAGTAACAGATAGGGATAAAGATAGAAGCGATGACAAGGCCCAGCTGGAGTGGCAAGGAATAGGTTGTGGTCCAGTGCAGTGGAGATTCGAGACACATATATCACATTTTCAGACAGGAGGAGTCTAGGTGCTGAAGTCTGTGTAAAGACTTTGACTTGAGCTGCTTGTCATTGCGTAACTGAGATTTAGAAAAAAAAAAAAAAAACTCGTTTCTGTATAGGACGAAGTTTGATATCAGTTTCACATTATATTGTTATTTAGAAGCTTACTTTCTACATATTTTGGTATATTTAACATACAATTGTATTTTTTCTAGGAGTCAGAATGCTGTTTCTTTTTGCTTTCCTAAAAAAACAAACAAAAACAAGCTTTAGGAATTAGACTGTACTAAATGTTTTTGATTTTACTGAAACTATTCAGTTCATGAGAGTCATTTGTTTCAGAATTCACTGCTCATACTCTGCTCATGCAAGGTATTTGATTAAGGAATCTGTCTACACAACTTTTTTCTCATTGACTAAAAAGACCTGACACACAGTGGTGCCCAGCAAGCACACAACGTCATAAAACATTAATATTAGATTAGATTCAGGTTGTGATATCAGTAAGCCAAAATTCAATATCTAGCCTGCATCTAAGAACAACGTTATTTAGATGTCCAATAATGACGTTGATGTTTGGTTGATTTTAGGTTCTGTTAGAAAGTGACAAATTCAACGTCGAGCCAAAATCTTAAAACCAACGTCATATTGATGTCAAATACTGACATTGATTCGTCAGGTATGGCATCCAATATCCAACATCTGATAGATGACATAGTGGTCACATCAAAAAATGTTGATATTTGTTTGATTTTAGGCATTTATGTCGACCTGACATTGGGTTCTGATGTCAACCTGATTTTCATTGGCAATGCAATGGCTTCACGACGTTGGGGAACAAAACACCAATTTGACGTCATGTTGGCGTCATGTGTCTGCTGGGTGTTTAAGGCCATTTCGGTCATCACAGTAAACATCCGTCATCTTCTCATCAGTGACAGCATCTAAACAGTCTCTGGGTCAATGTGTGTAAAGATTTTGGACATCTACTTGCACACTTTTAATGCTTCCAAACAGTTTGATCTATTTATAAAGCGCCCATGTCTTGAGGTAGTTCGTTATGATGCGATTTACCTTTTATGTGCGATTTGTTTGGACAGGAGGAATCACAGGACTGAAGAAAAAAATTAAGTAGTGACTGCAGGTTGAGGGAAAGTAGTGGAGTAAAAGTGCCAATACAGCACTAAAGCTACTCAAGGGAAAGTAAAAGCAGACATTTTTTAAAACTACTTAGTAAGTTACAATTTCTTCCCAAAACTACACGATTACAGTAGCTTGAGTATTTGTAATTTGTTACTTTACACCATTTCTGACACATAAGAAATGTTTGTTTTTGTAGTTTTTTGACTACACTACATCCTGGACATTAATAAAAATTTGCAACTTATTGCGATTATTTATTTCTGGAATCAGCTAATGCTGTATGTATTTGATTGTTTACAAAGAACTAGTTGATAGGTATCATTTATATATGAATTGGGCTACACATGCTGTATTTCCTTGATTTCCTTGGGTAGCGCTGTTGCCTCACAGCAAGAAGGTCACTGGTTTAAGCCCTGGCTGGATCAGTTGAAATTTCTGTGAGGAGTTTGCATGTTTTCCCCATGTTGGCGTGGGTTTCGTGCGGGTGCTTTGATTTCCCCCACAGTCCAAAGACTTGCGGTAAATGTGAATTGAATAAGCTAAATTGGACGTAGTGTATGTGTGGGTGTGAATGAAAGAGTGTATGGATGTTTCCTATTGCTGGGTTGTGGCTGGAAGGGCATCCGCTGCTTAAAACACATGCTGGATAAGTTGGCGGTTCATTCCGCTGTGCGACCCCTGAATTATAAAGGGACTAAGCCAAAAAAGAAAATGAATGAAGGAATGAATTGACCTCCCTGGACTGTAAACAAACCGTGTCAGCTCACATCAATGAATATAAAAAAAACACATTGTAATTATAGACAGATGAGGGTGCAGGACCTTTACTTCATTTTTATACATAAATCACTTCAGATTACTTAAACCTATAATAAATGGAATGGTACATAAATAAACAAAATAATTGTATGGCTTTTAACAAGAATTTTTTGTATTGTTTTTGCATGGTCTCAGGTGGTTAGATGTAGGCATAGGCCACCTGACCAGCGCCCCATGCTGGGTGATCTACCTACGGGTTCTCCAGGACGCGGTGTGGCCTGATGGTGAACTGCCTGCGGTGCCACGTCCCGAGAGGAGCCCAGAGCAGAGAGAGAAGACCAGACTCCAGTGCCTGCAGTGCCTCATGCAGCTGTTCCCAGGTCAGTTCAAACATGCAGCATTAGAACAGCTTCAGAATTAATGAGCTGGACTGTCTTCAGACACATTTGACAATAATCACATCCGCCAATGTGAGCTTTGAAATTCATGTGGTGCGTGTTTTCATATTAATGTGGAAAATGCAAGAATCTCATAATGACACACAGTTGTGTATATGTTTTTTGTCAATTGTAGAGTTAATTACAGACATGCTGGGCTCTGAGAAATGCAGGCTGGTGTGGGAGCATGTGCTGGAGTCTCTACAGGACCAAAGTATAAACAGGTATAATAATTTCAATTCACATTATCAGAGTAATAACAATATCCTATATATTTAGTGCCTCTATTATGCTTGTTCAGATGACATAAAAGGCCTGCAAGGTTCCAGGATGAAAGTGCGTAATATGTAAAGTAATCAATAAAATCAGATATTTTAGCCGGGTACTCCAGTTTTCCCCACAGTCCAAAGACGGGGTACAGGTGAATTGGGTAGGCTAAATTGTCCGTAGTTTATGAGTGTGTGTGTGGTAGTTTCCCAGAGATGGGTTGCAGCTGGAAGGGCATCCGCTGCGTAAAACATATGCTGGATAAGTTGGCGGTTCATTCCGCTGTGGCAACCCCGAATTAATAAAGGGACTAAGCTGAAAAAGAAAATGAATGAATAATGAAAGATATTTTCAGCACAAACATGTGTAAGTTTGTTACAAATCAGCATAATGCCAGCCACCAGTTTTTAACTAACTGTCTGAGAACAATTTGTCTGCATATACCCTCAATCATTGTAGTTGTGGCCTGGAAGCACCTGGAAGTTGAGGCCTGGAAGAATTTGGTTCATGCTGTCCAAATTTTAAAAATGCCTCTGTTTTTTAGATTGCAAAATTAAGTCCACTTTGCCTGCACTCCTATCGGCAACATAAGCTCATTCTAAAAATATAGCCCTAAATAAATTTCTAGAGATTGTGAATTGTGTAGCCAGAGTTTGAATGGCTGCATTTCATCTTTAAAACTCTACAGGGTGGTATGGACTGTTACAAGTTTGTCCACTAGCTTGCCAAGTACGTCAGCGGACTTGAGATGCAGAGAGGAGTTGACCGCGACTACGGGGGTTTGAGCATACCTGTCAACATTGGGATGTGAAAATAAAGGGTATGCACACCATAATAAGGGATTGCCCCAACAAATTCTGATTAAAGAGCAACGAATGAATCTGTCAGTTATTAAGATTTTTGATTACATTAAATAAGAGGTGTCACTTTAAAAATGCACACATCTAACATTATATTAAAAGCATTCGACTGCTTTCCTTACTTTTTATGCTCATTTAAGACTAAATTAGTTGTGTTTGGAAACCCCCCCCCACCACCACCACCACCAAAATCGACATCTTTAGATGTTATTATTATTAGTTATGTGTATATGTCTGTTTAAAGATGCACCCAAAAGCCAGACTTTCTCTCCGCTTCAAATTGCGTGTACAGAATCCTTTTGGGAAACAGCGTCTATTTATCACTATGGAGCACGTCAGCTGACAGTCATGCACCATTATATGACTGTTTTGAGGAATGTATAGGATGGATGACGGCACCTGTAATCAAAAGGATAGAGAATCACGTCGTTTTTAATATTTATTTGTAAGTGTTTTTATTCCTAAACAAAGCGAAAGCACAGAACAGACTCGCGTTTAAGAGCAAGGGGCGACCCCTGGTGGTTCGGTGGTATGGGTTGCAGATAGGGAGGCTCGGCTGTTCAGAGAAAGACTGAAAATACGGGAGAAATATGGGAAAATACCTTTACAGGATGATAGTGGGATTGAACTGTAAAATATGGGAGAATCCCATGAAAAACGGGAGGGTTGACAGGTATGGGTTTGAGCCTGGTGAAGAACAGTTCCAGAAAGCAGGTAAGACAAAAACAAAAGCTAAAAAAAATAAATAAACAAGGGTGAAAATGTGGTAAAATCTGAAAACGTAGTAAAAATCAGGTGAGGGCTTTTTTTCTGGATTGCTTTTCAAAACACGGTTGAGTTGGGTTGGGTATAGGGAAGTGGGTGTGTGCTGGTCAATCGATGTCTTTTAAAACACTATTGGTTGGTTTTGGGGACAGGGTTGGGTGGGAGTTATTGGTCGGTTGGTCAGTCATTCAGTCGACAGCTACAGGATTTACGTGAGAAGAGCAGGCGCAAATGGCACTCGAGAGAAATCTGAGATCTCAAAAAGCTTACACAGCGGCCTCTGGTGGATTCCCAAAAACTGCTAAAAATTGCACCTCCTGTTACATAATTGGCGCTCTTCAGATTTGTATGTAGGGCTACGTTTTCAAAATGAGCCTGGGTTGCTTGTAGGATGAGGACAGCCACAAATTGTTACCATAAAAGCGGCTTCATTGATGTTAATCATATTGCTGTGCTTAAAATGGCTGAAATTCATATATGGTAATGGAATTTGGTTTCCAACATCCACTGCAAACGGTGCACCAATCACAACAACCAAAATTAGCCATCTGACAAATCGTAGAAGAGTAGGCTCTTAGAAAGTAAAGTTTTAGAGAGATTGTATCTTTGAATTTACAGATTTTTAGAAAAGAGGTCGTTGATAAATAAAATATGTGATTTCAAACCTTGGATGACTGCAAATCTATTATAGGAGACCTTCAAAATGAGTTTATTAAAGCATAATGGGGGCACTTTTTCCAAATAATTGTATATGAATTGCGTCCTGATGTGTGTTGCGAACTTAAATGTGTGTTGTTTGTATGGGGCTGTGCAGGCATTTGGTCTACTGTATCTTTGACCTGCTTCTGGAGTTCCTCGTTCCGGAATTTTCAGATGAGTTGTTCCAGAGGTTTTTACTTCAGAGTCTCCCTGGGGATGTCGAGAGAAAACCATCATCTGCCTGAGGACACAGTGTTTCTTTCCTCCCTGTTTCTGAATGCAGTGTTTTTCGGATGAGCACATTTTGATGAGTGTGTGTGTGTGTTTTTTTAGTCTGTCTTATCAGTTTGGCTGGCTGCTTGACCGGCTGCTTTTGTCTCACATACTGAATCTGACTCACAGTCGGTTTCATGTGGGTTATAGACTTTTAAAAAAGATGTCTGTTTCCTGTTATTTGTGATTTATGAGTTTTTACAATTTCAGATTGCATTATGGGACCTTGATCTCTGCTCTGACAACGTTAGATGTTTGAAAAGCTGAACAAAGTGACTTTCATTGACATTTTTAGTTGTTTAAAAAATATATATTGTCTGGGTTTGTCATGTAAATTTTGTTTCTATATTTATTATTAAGACTACTGAACCGGTCAATAAAAGTCACATTTAAAAATTAAATACTCTTTCTAATCTCTTACATTCTTTTTCTGAGCCTTTCTATGAACTTAAACATTTCTGAATGCAGAGCAGTACTCATATCGATTCTTTATAGTGCATAATATCTGTATTCATATTCTAGCAGACACACATCAGCACACATTTTCCAATATATCCTGTCAGACAAACCTCAGACGTCTGAGATTCTTCATGGACATTAGCATTTGTCAAATAAAAGATTTATCATTGCTGGGAAAAGAGCTGTTTTTTTCAATTGTTTAATTTGTGTTCGCTGCTCTTTGTGTTTTATAGACAAAACATGGAGAGGGGTCAATCAAAATCTGGCTGTTTGGACATCAATGTCCTCCCTGTGCCTCTTTGAAATGAACAAACAGCAGATGCACTCTATAGGTATGTCCAAAAGTATTAAGGCATTTTGAATTTAATAATAATTTGGCTTACTTGAATAGGACACTTAAGGTGAAAATTCAAAACTGATCAAAATAACAGTGAAGACTTTTACTAACTTAATGCTGTGAACTATTTTTCAAACAGCGCTGATAAAAGTTAGCAAAATTAAAGCGTCCTAACAACTTTTTCCATTGATAATCATTTGAAATGTTTGTTAACCACCTAATCGACATATTAGATAATAAGGGCTCTTTTGACACCAAAGACCAATAGAATTGTTATGCTTTTTCTCCAAATATTTCCACTGACCCCTAAACACTTCTTTGCAGCCCCCAGACCAGTTTGAACCCCCCTACAAATCAATTTATGTTTAATATGTATTTATTTTACCATTAAAATAAACTAATATTTATCAAATAGTATGCAAATTAATATTATTTTAGTCAATTTATCATACACTCAACGGCCACTTTATTAGGTACACCTTACTAGTATTGAGTTGGACCCCCTTTTGCCTTCAGAACTGCCTTAATCCTTCGCGGCAGAGATTCAGTACTGGAAATATTCCTCAGAGATTTTGCTCCATATTGATATGATAGCATCATGCAGTTGCTGCAGATTTGTCGACTGCACATCCATGATGTGAAACTCCCTTTCCACAACATCCCACAGGTGCTCCATTGGATTAAGATCTGGTGACTGTGAAGGCCATTTGAGTACAGTGAACTCATTGTCATGCTCAAGAAACCAGTCTGAGATGATTCATGATTTATGACATGGTGCGTTATCATGCTGGAAGTAGCCATCAGAAGATGGGCACACTGTGGTCATAAAGGGATGGACATGGTCAGAAACAATACTCAGGCTGTGGCATTGACACAATGCTCAATTGGTACTAATGGACCCAAAGTGTGCCAAAAAATATCCCTCACACCATTACACCACCAGCAGCCTGCACCGTTAATACAAGGCAGGATGGATCCATCCTTTTATGTTGTTGATGTCAAATTCTGACCCTACCATCCGAATGTCACAGCAGAAATCGAGACTCCTCAGACCAGAAAACATTTTTCCAATCTTCTGTTGTCCAATTTTGGTAAGTATGTGTGAATTGTAGCCTCAGTTTCCTGTTCTTATCTGAACAATTTGTGCCCCAGAACTGACGCTCACTGGATGTTTTCTCTTTTTTGGACCATTCTCAGACCAGCCTGTCTGGCACCAAAAACCATGCCACGTTCAAAGTCACTTAAACCCCCTTTTTTCCCCATTCTGATGCTCAGTTGGAACTGTAGCAGATCGTCTAGACCATGTCTACATGGCTAAATGCATTGAGTTGCTGCCATCTCATTGGCTGATTAGAAATCTGCATTAACAAGCGGATATTAGGTATATTATCATATACCTAACTGTAATATACAGATAAATCAAATGGTCTTAGTCTGTTAATGTATTTACTGTTTCACCATGTTTGTAAACAGTACATCACAGGCATATCTAAAACCCAGCCTGAATATATACACAAGAATGAATCCAACAAGAATCTCAACGGACTTCCACAGGATTACATTTAATCTGGCTGCTGTAACAGTGAAGTTCTTACCTAAAATGGCCTGCTATTTCCACATCACCTGCATGGCCTTGCAAGTCTGGACCAGGTTGGACTTTTTTTCTTAAATCATCTATAACCAAGGCCAAGCTTATTAAGGAAGCCAGTGAAGCAGAATTAGATTACATTTCTTGTTATTTTCATTCTTGCATGTGTAGCCATCAGATTTCTATAATAAAATCCATGTGCTATTATTTGGTGGTTTTCTATACTCGCATGCGCACATTCTAGAAGCACTTTGTGTACTTGTCTGAGACGCGGGTTTTGAAGCATAGCTGGATTTGCGTGCTGGATTTACGAGCGCGATGACTGCATGATAGCAACAGGTGTACAGAGATTTCAGATTCAAACACCAGATGTAATGCTTTCAACACTCCTTCAAAACAAACAGACAAAACTAAACAGTGGATGACAAAAGAATTCAAACAACTGTCTGGAAGATAAACTCTATTTATATGTATTTCTTGTATTCACTCGTATCTGTGGACAAACACATCCCACTGTAATAGAGACAGTGGGTTTTGCAAATACATTTAATTTAGAAATGAAAGACATGTCATATATCAATATTCAAGATCTATTCTTCTCTGAATATACAGAAATGTTGAAACAGAAAGATTTATGCTGCATAAATCATACTGACATTGCCTCTTTGACAGATTCTTTATTGCCAAAACAATGTTTGTATTGTGTGAAAGGCAATTACCAGAGCAGGTTGTTTAGAATAACTTTCATTGAATTTTATAGGGAAGAAATGAGAAATGTTTTATTCATATTTTTTCTAGAAAAGAGTTAAACATGATACTGTGGCCAGCAGTTGTTGATGTGAATAGATGAGAGCACTGATAGATTTAATTAAAATCATCTACAATGAGTCCTGTAAATGTAGGAAGACTGAGGGTGAATATACTAAAGCAAACATCTAAATATTTTACTCTATACCTAAATACATGTACTATGCTTTTTATGAGTTATGTGAATGTATTGTATTAACAGTTAACAGTTGTTTTAATGCAATAGCTTTTAAAATAAAAAAGGGCATAAATAAGTTTATCTACCAAAAGAAATAACTAACCCTGAACTGCCTGACATGTGTCAACATTAATTCCAGGATTACTTCCTGCGCAAACTTTTGCTTTTTTATATAGATTTTTATAAGTTAAGCTCATAGTCTTTTATAAACCACTAGTTAAACTGAATTGAAAATAAATGGAGAATATATACTTTTGCTGTTGTATTCTGAAGTGCCAAGATTTACCAAGATCTACCAACTGACGCTAATTAACAATTCAAATCATGATCCTTAAATATACCACAATTTTCATATATGTTGAAAATTTAAAGGTCATGATTTGGATTGTTAATTAGCGTCAGTTGGTAGATCTTGGTCAATTAAACTAATATTTTTCTGTAGGATTCTTTACAATATTATTTTTGTGCACATTAGTTTAGTATGTCCTGAAGCCAAATCTGGAGCTAATCTAACAAAATAACTTACAATAATGGTTCAAAAATGTGTATACCCAAAATTATTTGTAAGGAAAAAATATGAAATAAAATATTTAAAAATAACAAGAGAATCAAAAAACACATACAATTAAGTTGAAATGTAGTTTGTGAACTTTTTTTTGCAGTATTTTGCATGAATTTGAATGTTTTATCTTTCCATTTCTAAAGATGTTTTGTGAATAAAATATGATTTTATAAATATATCTGTTTAATAAATCTGTTTTGTTCAAATGCACCAATATAGTTCTTTTCAAAAATGGTAATGTTCCTTTTTTATTGTATGTAAACTGTTTTCAACTGTATTTCAATCAGGCAGTGAAGATTTTTAATGAAAACAGACTTTAAACGGGGCGATTTTGTATCGGCATACAGTTCAACGGAAGAGCTTGACCCAGGTTACTGAAAATGAAAAGTATTTCTGCATATACCCTATGAAGCTAAATAATGCTACCATTCTAATAGCAATGGCTTTAACCAAACATTTATAAACATATTGTCACTGCTGTGTCCTTGATCCTGTCATGTATCTCCATGGTGTTTCATTCTTAATAAGTCCTGCTACTTTCTGTAGTTAATAAAACATCTGCTTTTTTTTTTTTTAACTGTCCTAAACTGAAAACTGCTAACGTTTATGAACTCAGCCTAACCACATCTCTGCAGCAGTCATTCAGTTTAATGATTTCACAGTCCTGCATGTCAGGAAGTATTTAGACCACTCATAATCAAACCTTTGACGCAGAGAACTTTGTGGCAAAAAGGAGAAGGTAGAACATTACGGTCTCTTTACCGCACACTAATGAGAATTCCCAGATTCTGTAGATGGCAGAAGCAGAGGCTGAAGTGTTTGTGTCAGTTTTGATGACAACTGTAATTGAAAGCAGTGTCAGTTTTACGGCCCATCATTGCAGGGTCAGTGACTTCAGCTGCTCAGTTATGGCAGTAATAATAATGTGAACTTTTCACTGTGTTTTTATGGCAGGTTCTGCAGATTGTGTGGTGAACTTAGCACACTGAGATCTGCGCAAAAGCTCAAGTAGCTAAAGATGAGAGGATATGCCATGAATTCAGGAAAGATTAATGAATGTGTGTAAATCAATAATATGTGATTTGTTAGAAGTAAG